ACTGGGGACTCCGTGTGCGCAGCCCGTAAGGGTGTCGCCGTGAGGCCTGGGGTACCCGGCTGGAGCCTGGGGCGAGCCTCAGGCCAGGCTGGGCAAGTCCAGCCCCCGAACCTCCCCCACGCGCGAATTCCCGCCTGATGTGCCCAGACCTGGGTTCCGCTGGGGGACACCAGCAAGGGCTGCACCCCCACACCTCACGAGCCCCAGCTCCTGGGAGTCAGGGCAGGTCCCACGGGGTAGGTCGCCCATCTGGGCTAAGGGCGAGCACACCAAAGCCAGACGGAGAGCCACGGGCAGCTTCGCTCCAGCTGGTGGGTAGCCCCACACCAACTGGGGGGCCCCTGTGTTCTCGGGGTTCCTCCACAGCCCCGAAGGCAGCCCTGGCCAGTGTAATGGTCACCACTGGTCACCAGGAGTCCGGCCAGCACTGGCCAGCAGGGGCGGTCACTGCCAGTAGGGGTGGTCACTCTGGCCCCTCAGAGGCGGGGTCAGGACACCCAGTGTCCTCAGCTCTGCGGGTTGTTGGGCGACACCAGCAACAGCAGCTCCGGGAGAGGCCAGGCGCGGCCGGCCCTGCAGAGGCCTCCCCTTCCTCCCTCCTCGGGTCAGTGCCGGACGCCGCCTTTCCTCCCGCCACCTGGACCTGGCTCCCCCTGAGGGGCCAGCGCCCGCTCCCCTCAGAGTGGGTTGTGGCGGTCAGCCCAGGCTTATATCCTCTCAGGGAGCCCCACCCACACGTCTGATTGGCCCATTTTTCAGCGCTGTGGCCGATTGGTCCATTCGCGCATCGGCGTAGCTCCTGATTGGCTCCTTCCACGCCCCAGGAAGTGTAATTTACATAAAAGTGCTCTGAAGCGCAACAGCCACAACTGACTGGCGGGGCGGCCAGGGACGGAACCTCTGCTGCCCGCTCCCCGCTAGCTAAGGCACCGGCTCCGTAACAGCGCCACCCACCCAGGCCCACCCAGACCCCACGCACACCGACACCACCCGGTCGCAGCAGCACCCACCCACTCGCACACCAGCACTGCACTGACACCGCCTCACACTCTCCGCCCCAGCCCCGCCAACGGCGGACACCAGCCGGGACGTCACTCGTCACGTGGCCAACCCGACCGTCACCAGGGGTCTCAGCTCACCCACCATGGGGGCACCCCCCTGCCGGGCGACCCTCTCCTGCTTACTAGGGCATCGCCTATCTGCAGGGCGCGTTCCAGTCGCCGGAGGGGACCCCCGTCAGGGGTCCTCACGGTCACAGGCGCCCACATCTCCGGTCCTCACCCTCTATGGGGGGCCCCCGTCACGGGGACCCCGCCTGCATCAGGAGAACCTCACCCACCTTGGGGACGCGTCTCAGGGTCTCTCAGCAGCCCTGGGGCTCCTCGCCCACCCTCTGGGCCGTCACCTGCTATCGCAAAGGTCCCAGCCCGGCCTCCCGCCACCTGCTCCTGGAGAAGCAGCCGGGCCTCGGGAAGAATAAAACATCTGCTTTAATTGCTAGTAAAATGCGCCCTGGCATTGGTGGCCGGCGGGCGCAACACCTTCGTGGGCGAGGCAGTGGCGTGGTCTGGGCGGGGTGTCGGGGGCTCCGTGTCGCGCAACATTTTCCCCACGTTCTTTGCGATAAGAAACAATACTGAGGTCGTCCAGGTGGAGCGTCCGAGCCAAGTGCTCCACGCGGAAACGAAGGGCCAGGCCGGCCGGGCTGCTGCCGGGAGCCGCCCACGCCTGCACCCGCTCGGAGGACACGGCCGCCCACGCCTACCCCGGCGGCCACCCTGGCTGCCGGCCCCTCCCCTGGGCGGGGCTGTGTCCTCAGTCACCACATATCAAAGCGAAGTAAAAACGGACCTTTAAAAACATTAAGAAACGGCTCGGAACCGCTGCGCCGGCCTACGTGAGGCTCTTGGGCAGCGTCCCTGTGGCTGACGGGCGTGGGCGCCTGACCTGTCCCGCTGACGGCAGGTCAGACCGAGATGCCCCGGCTGGACTGGGCGCTCAGCGGCTGGCCCTGCCCCGGCAGGCTGCCGGGGCACTCGAGGACTCTGGCCGTGGGGTACGTGCACCCCAGGGCTGGGGTCACCATGAACCCTGCCGTGAGGCTGATCTGGCGGCCAGGGACAGGGCGGTCAGTGCAGCTGGGCCAGGCTGGGGCCAGGCCCACCGGAGCAGGGTCCAGGAGAAAGAGACGCTCGGTAGGCTGAGCGGAAGCGAGCGTGAGAGGACGTGTGGCGGCCCGGGGCGGCCTGCAGGGCAGCGAGGGCAGAGGCACCCTGGGGCAGGAGCGGACGCCTGGCCTCTGGCGCCCGGCAGCGGCCCTGTGGCTAGATGGAGTGTGTGGACTCCTCCGACTGCTGGCTGATGTAGCTCTGGAAGCTCTTGTCTCCGATGGGGTGCTCCCTGCGGGGGGCAGCGGCTGAGGAAGGTGCTGGCTGGCCCACCAGCACGAGGGCAGTGTCCCTCACGGGCAGCCCGC